CAGCCTACAGATTAGCTTTTTTTCTCTCCCTCCAGGAGTTTGCTGTGACTACTTGGAGTTTGGAAAGCTGGGTATTTGCATAGTTAAACTGGGCTTCCTAAATCTTTTCAGCTAATGCCTCGTATTTTCATTCAATAGTTTATGGGAGGTGCAGACCTGGCAGTAAAGGGTAGACAACTGCCTGGAGCCTCACATCACAGAAAGACCACAAAGCTCCTGAGTTTCTGCCCCATGCCCACTGCATCTAATGACAACCTGTGGGTCTGGGAAGGGAACCCGCCTACCCCACACATCATACAGCTCATGCTTCCACCATCTAATCCTCATGGCTTCCTCACAAACATCCTTCTGGCTGGAAAAGAATTTTCTCCCTTCGTTTCTAAAGCTGGGGGAATGCGCAACACCTCTGAGAAGCAGGTGCAAGTGGCGTTTCACATTAGCAATCCAAAATTCAGTGGCCACTTTCAGATAGTCAGGCCTAAACCACTGCACAAATTACACCTTCGTCTAGTTCTATTCCTTTGTGTCTATATGTAGATGTATTTTACTAGTAGAAAAAATACCAAGCAAATTCCAACTTCAAGTACATTGTTCAGTTGAATAAGTTATGACCAGTAGGGCTAATTTCTTCCTACTATGATTAAATAAAATGACAAGGGATAGTCTAGGGCTGGCCGTGACCAAAGGGCACCCCTGGCAAGATCCCCTCCATTTGTTAATTTGCAACACCCTGCAACAAGGTTTAAACAGACACATGGAGTGGTTCTCAAATTGTAGTAGGTAACTTCCCATTCAGGTACTCCCATCTTCTCATCACTGCTGCAGATGAGCCACTCCCACTTCGATTTAACAAGCACTGATGTCACACTCCCATCTCTGTATCCATCCCTTTTCTGGTTTTTGTTGTTGTTGGGTTTTGTTTGTTTTTTTTACAATCTGAGGTAGTGAGCTGTAGTTCGTGAAAGCTTACGCTATAATACCCTCATAAATGTGTTAGTCTTTAAAGTGCCACTGGACTCCTTGTTGTTTTTGCTGAAACATTCTAAACATGTCTACCCCTCTCAAACATTATTCTCTATAATTGACCTGCTCCAGCCCACCATAAGAGTAAGACGGAATGGTGTGGCCCGGGCAGCTAAAAGTCTGGGGACCACTGCTCTAGGATTTAAGATGCCCTTCCCTTGCCAACTCCAAAAGGCTAGTTTGACCCCAAAGGGTCATCTTTTATCTTTTCCTTTACCCTCACAAGGCACAGCTGGACAGAATATTACGTACGTGCCTGAGCACTGTACTGAAGAGGGATGGATTTGACAGCCATTCAAGCATTCACCCAAACTGGGACCTGCATATCTTGTCTCCCATGCATTTGTGGACATGCCTGCATCTACTCCTGGAGCAATCCCCCACATCCACATTGTTTAATGTTGTACTGTTCTTCTGGATGCTAAGATCTCATGACTCAGCATTCCTCTTGCCATTGCTGTTGCCAGTGATTAGATGTGAAACCTACAAATACCAACAAATGCCGTTTTCTGAAAAAACAAAGGCAATTGACAAGGCAAGAATCTACTATTTTAGTTTGGAAAAGCGAGGTTGCCCCATCTCCTGTCCCCTGCTCAGACATGCTTCTGCTATTTCAATGCCTTTCCTTGCTAGTGCTGGGGAGTGCAATGTACATGGAAGGAAGTTATTCATCAAACAATTAGAAAGCCAAGACAGTAGACGCTCTCCTAAATGAACATGATTTAGCAGAATAACAAAAGGAAAAACAGTGTCTGGCATTTCAGTGCCATTCCTACATCTCCATGCTCTTGCTGTTAAACTTTTTAAACCATTTTAGTTAGCTTGCACACAACAAAGCTCCAGCCCAGAATGCAAAAGTCAAAAGAACCTACCCTGCAAGGCCCCCACATCATGTTGAACCACTAGACCACATCTTTCCCAAACTAAATTTCACAGTAAGAAATGTTTTAATAATGTGATGCTGTTCCAATTACCAACAATGTGACGCTGTTCCAATTACCAACAAACTAATTTTCAAGTGTCAAAACTTCCAATTTTTGGAACAATTCCACATAACATTATTGAGAATCATTTATATTAATTTTAGGCCATGTAATTGCAGTCACATTGGTCTTAGGATATTAGACAATCTCTTTAGACATGTCTACACTGCCGAGCAACAGTCAAATTAAGTTATGCAACTTCAACTATGTCAATTGCATAGCTGAAGTTGAAATAGCTTAATTTGACTTTTGGGCTGTGTACACAGCAGGAAGTCGAAGGAAGAACACTCTCCATTTGACTTCCCTTACTCCTTGTGAAATGAGGGTTACAGAAGTCGGAGTAAGACGTCTTTCAGCTCTAAATTATTTCAAAATAACTAGCTTACTGTGTAGACATGCACTTTGTTATTTTGAAGTAACATCGGTTATTCTGAAATAACGCTGCTGTGTAGATGTACCCTTACATTAACTCCATAATTTTATACTCTATTAGGCCTGCAACTGTACATTTACAAACACAAAGACAGACACGTTCCTGCCCCCAACATTCTTACAGTCCAAGATGAGATGGGACACTGGGATTAAAAAAAGGAGAATGAGGAGAGATGATTGCTGAGCTAAAGAAAGGTACACATGTGAAGATGGTAGCTGTCAGAAAAAATCTGCAGGCTAATGTATTGCTCAGGTACTAGCCATAGTCCTCATTGCAAGCTATATTTTAAGGAGAGGGGAGGGTGGCATGGGTCCTGGTTGGAGTAGGTTTTTCCTCATTATTATGCAGTGTTTCTGACATTTCAGACTCTGATAGTTACACTGTTCTGAGACCACACCCACACTTCTGTACCTCAAACTGGTTTCTGGGTCAATTTGACAACCAGGCACAAAACTTATTCACATAATTTGATACAAGATGTATTTTTCCTCTCGCACAATGGGCAACACTCGCCTTGGTTCAGGGGGAGGAACTGATGCAAACCCATCATGTAGATACACTGCTGCACTGAGGAAGTCTCCTTTAAAACCAGGATAAACTACACGGCTGTGTCTAGACTGGCCGCTTGAATTTCTGCAAGAGCACTGACTTCCTACTGTCTGAAATCAGTGTTTCTTGCGGAAATACTATGCTGCTCCCGTTCGGGCAAAAATCCTTTTGCGCAAAGCTTTTGTACAAAAGGGCCAGTGTAGACAGCTCAGATTTGATTTGCGCAAAAAAGCCCCGATCGTGAAAATGGCGATCGGGGCTTTATTGTGGAAGAGCGCGTCTAGATTGGCACGGACGCTTTTCCGCAAAAAGCGCTTTTGTGGAAAAGCGTCCGTGCCAATCTAGATGCTTTTTTCCGCAAATGCTTTTAACGGAAAACTTTTCCGTTAAAAGCATTTGCGGAAAATCATGCCAGTCTAGACGTAGCCCACTAGTATGAGCTCCTTTCTGCTCAGTGTTAACGGATCCACACTAGGGATTTGCAGTGGCACAGCAAAGAGAAAAAGCAGGCCTTACAAACGCTGAATGTTTACCACCCATACTCCGATTTTAAAGGGTTAATATATACAACAATGAATTTAAATCAGTAATTTAAATCAAGATTGTTAGTCCTAAATTACTCCCTGTTACCATACACAGCTACTCATTCATTTGCACAGCTGTTTTACTTCTAGAAAAGTTCAGGGAGACACAAATCTAAATTGTTTTCTCTGTTCAAGCAGCAAGACAGAGTAGATTAAGGGCTATTTATATTACATTTGTGTGAAACTGATTCAGGGTTTGTTTCGCTTTAATTAGAGGCCAATTCACTTTTGAACTTTGTAGCCCCTGTAGCAAATCTGCAGTTAGGGTTTTTTCTTTGTTGAGCTGAACAACCTTTAGTTACATTTCCAGGACTATAATGGTTCCCTCTACTGGCACAGCATGTTACATGCCAGTCATGTTTAAAGGGAGGATTTTGTGTAGCCTCATGAACATCCTCTGATGCTATCAGAAGATTGTGGATCCAAACCCCTGTGGGGTTATGCTTTCATTTAGAAGTCCACCTAATATTTGATTTGGGGCAAGCAGAGAGTCTTACTGACAGTGCTCAAGTCCTCAATGTAATTAAGTGCTTCCTAACCTGATTCAGGCAGGTAGGAAGTTTCTTAGGGAGCATAAACATGCACGATGTGCTTTTGCAGAGCAGGGTGAGCCAAGCTAGCCCTAAAGCGGGGGTGTGGAACCTAAGGCCCAGGGGCAAGATATAGCCCCCGGCTTGCCCTGGTTCCAGCTCCTGAGATTTGGAGCTCCCCCCATCAATGGGGAGCCTGCAGTGGTACTCCAAATCCCCCCCCCACACACACATACACAATCCCTCCGCAGGGCTGGAGCACACGAAATCCACTAGCGTGGTCCCCCCAAGGCTCTAGTGCGCAAGGGGAATGTCACCGTCTCTATCAGAGTCCACCTGATTTTTCTGGGAGTCAGCAGCCACTGACCAAAAAAATAGTACACTTTAGCAGGACTGATTTCAACCAGAGCTTGGCTTTTCTGGTACATGGGGAATGCTGATGATCAAATCAACCAACTACTCCACTTCTGGGGTCTCCAGTGACCAGGAGAACAATCTCGTGTACTCTGTCTAGGATGGGGAGCCTCTGGCTGGCTGGGGGGGGGGGGGGGGGGAGGAAGAGAGGGAGATGTTGAAACACAAGGGTCCCTACTCTCCACTTCCAATTCATCCTGGGGAGGCAGCCAAAGCATCTGAAAACGACCAGCAAGAAGGGGAGACAACTCCTAATGGCCATCCTCAGAAAGCCGAAGTCAGGGGGGCCCAGGCGGTGCCAAGCCATCCCCAAGTCTGGGCTTTCCCATCCCAGTTACTGTTCAGCGGGGCTCTCGCGTTTCATTGATACAGGGGGCTACGTTCCTGCTACCCCCGCGGGAAGGTGCCATTTCTGCAGCCCCCCTGGTAAGTACTGGAGAAGGCGGACGCCGAGCGCTGCCAGAGATCTGCTGGATTTACTCACCGGCGGTTTGTGAAGCCGCTGCCTGGCGACCCCGAGCTCTGCTCGGGGTAGTTGTGCTGCAAAGTGGAGGCGGGGAACTGGTAGAGGAAGCCGGTCCCGAGCGTGCAGCCGCAGAAACAGCACCACCAGGGCCAGAGAAGCGCCAACTTCATCTTCCCAGCGAGAAGCGCTGGAGCCGGGGCCACACTGCACAAAGACGCCGGTTCTTTGCCTCCGCAATCCGGAGTCACGCCGACCGGCGAGCGGGCTGGGGGAGATCCGGGGCTGTCGGAGCAGGAGCGCTCCTTAAGACACAGATCACCTCTGCGCCTGGCTGGCCAAGGAAAGCCAAATCCCCCCTGCAAGCTAAGCCCTGGCGGCTGCTCCTAGAGCCCGGGGACCCCCGCGCCCAGCGCCGGCTCCCTGCCCCCAGGGCGCACACGCAACTCCGGATGCCTTTTCAAATTTGGTGAGGTTGGCTCAGTTCCGTCAAAGGGGGCGTGGGGCTTCCCATTAACCCTTCGCCGGCGCTGCCGGAGACCCCACGGCGCCAGCGACTCCCCGGGGGAAGGCAGCGGCCGCGCTCCACACGTGCCGAGGCTCGCTGGGAAATGGAGCCTCACAAGGCCAGGAAAGAACAGATGGAGCCATTTGGGCCTGGCCTGATTAGTTTCGTACCCAGCCCCTCACACTGGCACTGTCTCTATCCAGAACAAGGCGGGCTCCCCCTGTTGCAACAAAAACTTACAGACACCCCCCCCCACCAGTATGACACACAGCCCCAGATCTGGCTATTTTTGTCCCCGGTTACCCAGAATCTAAGGCTTTAACAGAGAGCAAGCACAAGCACAAAACTCTAAACTTGGCACTTGGATCCCAGCAAGGTGTGGTCACCATCCTCCACTCTTCTGTTTGGGCAAAGAATAGGGTAGCCAGTCCTCCTGTACTTGAATCATCTGGGACTCTAAAGCTCCCCAGTGCAGCAAAACCAAACTAAGGTCTGGTCTACGCTAGGCCTGGCAGGTGGGTTTCAGGTACGCAACTCCAGCTAGGCAAAATGTGTACCTTAAGCAAAATACATAGGAGTCACCTTACCTTAAGCCAGGCCTTAGAGGAGTCCACACTGTGGGAACCCCATGGCAGCAAAGGCTCCTGTCAGCTTCCCTTACTCCTTGCAGAAGGAGGAGTAACAGACACCAGTGGGAGCTGCCCTCAGAGTTTGATTTATGGGTCAACTCACTAAATCAAACACTAGGGCTGTGTCTGGACTGCATCCCTTTTCCGGAAAAGGGATGCAAATTAGACCTATCGCAATTGCAAATGAAGTGGGGAATTTAAATCCCCCCTGCTTCATTTGCATAAAAATGGCTGCCGCTTTTTTCCGGCTCAGACCTTTCGCAATTGCAAATGAAGTGGGGAATTTAAATCCCCCCTGCTTCATTTGCATAAAAATGGCTGCCGCTTTTTTCCGGCGCAGAGCTTTGCCGGAAAAAAGCGCCAGTCTAGACGCGGATCTTTTGGAAAATAAAGCCTTTTCGTAAAGATCCCTTATTCCTCTTAAAATAAGGAATAAGAGATCTTTCGGAAAAGGCTTTATTTTCTGAAAGAGCCGCATCTAGACTGGCGCTTTTTTCCGGCAAAGGTCCGAGCCGGAAATGCCGCTTTTTTCCGGCGCAGAGCTTTGCCGGAAAAAAGCGCCAGTCTAGACGCGGATCTTTTGGAAAATAAAGCCTTTTCGTAAAGATCCCTTATTCCTCTTAAAATAAGGAATAAGAGATCTTTCGGAAAAGGCTTTATTTTCTGAAAGAGCCGCATCTAGACTGGCGCTTTTTTCCGGCAAAGGTCCGAGCCGGAAAAAAGCGGCAGCCATTTTTATGCAAATGAAGCAGGGAGGATTTAAATCCCCGCTTCATTTGCAATTGTGATGTGTCTAATTTGCATCCCTTTTCCGTAAAAGGGATGCAGTCTAGACACAGCCTAGAAGATCAAACTCTGGAGCATTGATCTCCCAGTAAGTATAGATATACCCAACAAATCTCTCCCATCTCTGAGTTAGAGCCAAGTTTTACCTGAAAACCCAGCTTGTGCCCTTATAGTGCAGAACAAGTGTTACTTCTGATGTTCCTCCAAAGGAACCCCGAACACACCTTGATCCAAGGAAATTGCAAATCTCCAATTTAGTATCTGTACTCTGCTGGGCCCATCCGATGTCTGAATGTAAACGCCTCCCCTAACTCATGTTTTCACAATCCTAAAATGGTTTTCCTCGTCCACACATGGATAATCCAAATCTCAGTGAATCATGGTGCAAGGATTCAGGTGATGAAACAAGGGGTTTTACAGCATTGTTGCATCAGGATGACTTGGAATCTGGGCTTTTTAGGGTAAATTGTAGTAGTTCAGCTTGTTCTCCATGTAAACAGTGAGATTTGAGAGCTTGAGTCAAAAATTGGCATAACCCAGCTTTTATCCAGACTTGTTGTTTCAGTGTCAGTGGCTCAGACCCCTTCCATCCACACTTCAAATAACTGTGTGATTAATGGCCTATGGTAACTTTTTTCAGGTAGAGATGCTCATTTGTAGCTCACCTGCCTTTGATGTTTGAGGGTGGAGAAGCACTACATACAAATCAAAGTGAACCTTGGAATGTTTCTTCTCTATTGTCCTTTCCTAGAACTTACCTTTGAGTTAAGACGAAAAATGAGATGCTAAATAGCATTTATTCTCAGTGTTTATTATTTGTGTAGAGATATGAAGAAGAGGTTTCTATTTTAAAGACTTTACAGCCAAAATCAAATGCTGCAAACATGCACTAACAGAGCATAATGTTTACACTCCAAGGGCACATCTACATTAGGGATGTAATAGTGTAGCTGATTAACTGATAAGCAAAATCTTATCGGTTAATGCTATTGACTACACACACACATCCCACCCTCTGCCAGTCAATTTTTTAGCAGGCTGGCTAGCAGCCCAGCTCAGTCCCAGTTTGTGCCAGGTCCAGGACCTACCTCTGCTGCAGCTCTGCATTTAAAGTGTATTAGGAGCCAGGTGGGCTGGCAGCCCGGCTCAGTTCTGGCTGGTACTGGGTCCAGGAACTCAGACCCTTTCCCCACACCCGTACAGGGGCCGCTGCCACCTGTGCTGCTGCCTCTGTATTAGAGGCAGTAGTGTGGGGTGACAGGCAAGCGGTCTGCGAGGGGAGCTAGTTTTTAGACTGGCCCACAAAGGCAGAAGCAAGTGGCTGGGGCCTTCTCGGGAGTGGGGCCAGACTGCACTGGTTGACAGCCTCACACCCAGGGACTATAGAATAGTAGAGTAACCAATAAGAATTCATGTGAACCTATTCAATTAACCAATATTTAACATCCCTAATCTACATTATACAGAAGACTAACACTGATGCACTCGATCTTTCCGGGTTTGATTTACCAGAACTGTACTCCTGCTCCTCATGAAGCAGGGAGGAGTAAGGGAATAACGGAAGCCAACGGGGGCATTTGCTCTCGTTGGCCTCCTGCTGTGTGGACGGTGCGGAAACGTGATGTAAAATACATTGACTCCAGCAATGTAATTTAGAGTGTCTCAATGACTTCAGCATTTCTGTGTGTATATATATATATATAGATATATATAAGGGATTATTTTCCCTCTCAATTCCCAGCATAAACTCAGCAGCACATCTACCCAAGTCATAATCTAAAGGGTCAGGTCATAAACCCATGGTCAGTCGGGAGGTGGGAGGTGAAGAGGCAGGAGAGCCATTTGACCTGGGCCTCAAGCTCAAAGAGGGCCTCAAATTTAGACATGTTAATTTTTTGGCATTTGACAAGTTTCACAACTTGTTTTTATGCGCATCCCTGTTGGACCAAAATGTGATACTCTCTCAGTTTAGAGCTGCAAATTTAAGCAAATAAGAGCTGTGATTTGGTAAAAGACATAATTTTTTTGTTAACTGATTGATTTTGACCAATTTCAGAAACAGTACAGAAATTGAAAGAAATCTCAAAAGATCTCGGCGACGAGGTCATCTTCCTCAAACAAACTTATTCCATGAACTTTAAACTGGATTGCAAGCCAAAAGGAATTGCTTCAAGAAATACTCAACCTTGGACTCTCTGAGGTGTTTCTTAATATTACAATTGCATTGCATATTTTTGTCAGTTTGCCTGCATCTGTGGCTTCAGGTGATCACATCTTCAACATGTTGAAGCAGGTGAAGAACTATCACCATTCAGCTATGGGACAAGAGCGTTTGAATGGGCTTGCCATGCTTAATTTTAACTGTGACATTGCACGGAAGCGCCACTGCTTCCCGCAGCTCCCCTTGGCTGCAAAGGATGAAACGGAGCCAATGGGAGCCGCAAGGCTCCGTGGCTGCAGCGCCAGTAAATAAACCGGGGCAGCCAGTTAATGTTTTTCTGAAAGAGATTTCACAGAACACTCTCAGAAACACTGCACTACAGGAATCCAGCCACTTTGTATAGGGTATGTCTACACTACCCCCCTAGTTCGAACTAGCGGGGTAATGTATGCATACCGAACTTGCTAATGAAGCCCGGGATTTGAATTTCCCGGGCTTCATTAGCATAAAGCCGGCTCCGCCATTTTTAAAAGCCGGCTTGTTCGAACCCCGTGCCGCGCGGCTACACGCGGCACGGGCTAGATAGTTCGAACTATGTAGCCATTCCGATCTATCTGTACACCTCGTTCCTTTTCGGAAAAGGGGCCAGTGTAGACGTAGCCTTGGAGTAATTTACCTAGGGATGTTGCATATTCTGTCACTTGAAGTCTTTAAATTCAGGGCTGTTTGTTTTTCTATAAAAAATCTGCTCTAGTTCAATTAGAAGTTATGGGCTTGATGTGGGAACCATTGGGTGGAAGCCAGACGAGTCCATTATGGTCTTTTCTGACCTTAAAACTGTATTACATACAGACTTTGGTATTAATTTGGTTAGTATTTATTCAGGTCAATAAATCTTACTGCAGGCTGAAACCAGCATCTGCTTAGCATCTACTACTGAATTTCTTGTTATCATTTGAAACAATGATGCCCAAAGAACTAAACTTGGAAACATTCACTTAATGGTGGATACATGGGTTTTTTGTAACCCATCAGGATTGCTATACATTCATCTTAACTGCCATAATTAACTCTCTCCATGAATGAGCAAGTTCTTAAAGTAGCTTTGGAAGTTGGGATGTTAAATATCAGTTAACTGAATAGTCAAGTAATCTCATGAATTCTTATCGGTTACTTGACTGTTCTGTATTCCCCGGGGACAGGGCTGGAAGCCAGTGCAATCCAGCCCCACTCCAGAGGAACCCCTTGGCACTCTGCACTGCTGCCTCTGGTACAGGGTGCCAGGTGGGAGCTGGTCCACAAGGGAAGCCATTTTAAAAAACAGCTCGCCTTGTGGACTGGCTTTCTGTCTCCCCGCACTGCTGCCTCCAGATACAGGGTGGCAGCAAGGGGGGGGGGGACAGGTCTGAGCTCCTGGACCTGGCGTGAGCCAGAACTGAGCTGGGCTACCTGCCCACCTATCTCCTAATAACACTTTAAATGCAGAGCCACAGTGGGGGTAG